GCGGCCCATCGGCGTCCGGGCTGGCGGCGTCCTGCGTTTGGATGTAGGTCTGGGCCGTGCGAAAGAGCTTCTCCCCTCCGGCTGATGTGCCGACGGCAAACTGGTGGGGCCGGAACTCCTCCTCAAACTCCAGCTTATGTTGCAGGCATAGCGCGCGGGTCACCCATCGACGAAGCGCGTCGCCGATGGCGATCGGACGTACACCACCTCCCGGCTTCTCCAGGGCGAAGAGTCGAGCCGCTGCTAAGAGTTTGGTCACAACGGGGGGGAGGTCGCCGTCCAGCATCCGCTGCACGAACTTGAGGACGGGCACGGCGTCTGCGTTGGTGTGGGCCTCGCCGACAAGCACCTGAAGGTGCTCGTATCGCCAGCCGGTCGGTCCTGCGGCCGATCCACGTGGCGCGGTCTTCAGCGCAGCCAGGAGAAAGTCCCGGCTGGCCTCCAGGCGAGGGGCGTCGCCCGCCGGCGCCGCGGGCCGGACGACGGGGGCGGCATCGGGGTGGAGTGCCCGCAGCTGGTCGAGGCTCTGCTGAGTCGCTGCCGCGACAGGCGGCGATGTGAGACGGCTTGCCGCACGAGAGAGCTCGCCGAGGCCAATAAGACGTGCTGCCGCTTCTCGCTTGACCGCATCAAAGGAAGGGGCTGCCTCGCCGTCGACAGGGCCCTCCCCAGCGGGCGCGTGGACGTGGCGGCCTTGCGGGGCAAACTGCCGTGCTTCGCTAAGTAGTCCCTCCCACTCGCCGCGCCAAAACCGGCCGAAACGGGCGCCCCACTTACGTGCGCCGGCACCGTCGGCACCGCCACGGTTCATGGGGAAAAGCAGCAGGACGGGGATGTAGAGCAGCACCAGGCAGGCATTGTCGAAGTCGCCTGCCCGCGTGGACGACAGCAGCTGCTCCACAGCCTCTTTGACCTCTCGCAGGGCGAGCCGCGCACACTGCGGGAGCCGCTCGATGGTGCGGATGGCCCGCTGGAAGTCGGCGATGTGATCGGATTCTAACCGACCCGTCAGAAACTCCACTCCTGGGGCCGGCAAGGTCCGATGCGAGCGGTGCCAACGGCCGTCAGCAGAGCGCGTGGGGGGTGGAGGGGGAGGGGGACCGCCGCCATGCGGCCCACCAGGTGGGCCTCGGCCTCCTGCCGGCGGCTGACAACGGCGCCACTGCTGGGGCGGCCGACCGCTCCCTGTGAGCGGCCGACTCGTGCGTCGATCTCCTGCTTGTCGGCGACCGGCACCGCCCCCGCCATCAGCAGCATCGCCCGCCCCCCCAGGGCCACCTTGCCCTGAACGCCGCGGGTCCTCTTCTTCGCGACGTCGGCGCTCCTCGGTCTCACCTTGTCGCCCCTCCTCAGTCCCACGTCGTCGCCCCTCCTCAGTTTCCCGTCGTCGCCCCTCCTCGTGTCCTCGCCTCTCCTCAGTCTCGCCTCGTCGCCCCTCCTCAGACCCACATCGTCGCCTCTCCTCAGTCTCTCGTCGTCGCCGCTCCTCGGTTTCACGCTGCCGCCGCGCCTCCTCGCCACAGCGTCCACGACAAAAATCGCCGCAGCTCAGACAAGGGCCGGTTCCTCTCGCCCGTCCGGAGCGACGCCTCGAAGCACCGCCCGCCGCGGTCCGTGGCGACTGCCGCAGCTCACGGTCTCGGCACCTCCTGGTGCCAGTGCGGCGCGGTTCGTCGGTACTGTTGGGGCCATGGCCACCTTCTCCGCCACCTGGCGGGTCCTCCTGGCGCTCCTCGGCCCCTTGTTGTCGTTGCGCCTCGGCCCCCTGTCGCCGCTGCGCCTCGGCCTCACGTCGTCGCCCCTCCTCGGCCTCCTGTCGTCGCTGCTCCTCGGCCTCACGTCGTCCTCTCTCGTCGGCCTCACGTCGTCGTCTCTCCTCGGCCTCACGTCGTCGTCTCTCCTCGGCCTCACGTCGTCCTCTCTCGTCGGCCTCACGTCGTCGTCCCTCCTCGGCCTCGCGTCGTCGCCCCTCCTCGGCCTCCTGTCGGCGCTGCTCCTCGGCCTCACGTCGTCCTCTCTCGTCGGCCTCACGTCGTCCTCTCTCGTCGGCCTCACGTCGTCGTCCCTCCTCGGCCTCGCGTCGTCGCCGCTCCTCGGCCTCCTGTCGGCGCTGCTCCTCGGCCTCACGTCGTCCTCTCTCTTCGGCCTCACGTCGTCGTCTCTCCTCGGCCTCACGTCGTCGTCTCTCCTCGGCCTCCTGTCGTCGCTGCTCCTCGACCTCACGGCGTCCTCTCTCGTCGGCCTCACGTCGGCGTCTGTTCTCGGCCTCTCGTCGTCGCCGCCGCCCCCTCGCCGAGGGGCCCGGCTCGGTGGTCCACGCGTTGAGGATATCCCTGGTGTCGTGCAGGCCGTTGGGAGGGGCCGTGTTGAAGGGGTCGAAGCCTTCGCGAGAGGCCATGTCAGCCAGGATCGCTGGCCGGCGTGGTGGGGCCCCTTCAGCAGCGATGAGCTCATCCAGAGACGGCTGAGGGCGAGCCGGGAGGGCACGTTGCGGCCGGGCTGGCGGGGATGCGCTCCTGCTGCTGCCCGAGGGGGAGACGACCGCCCAGTGAGCCCCCGAGTCGATCCGGCGGCGGCGGGAGCGACGGTGCTGGCCTTGCCGTGGGCGGCGGCGGCCTTGGCGCCGCTCGGGTCCTGCCTCCTCCCTGTCGATGCGCTCTGCCAGCGCCATGTCCGCCGCCAAAGCCGCCGACTCGTCTTGCAGCTCTTCGACGTCCATGGGGGCTCCCTCGCTGTGTGTGTCGGCCAGCCCGTTCTCGCCGTCGCGTGTGGGTGGCGGGGCGGG